AATTAATTAGTCTGCCTATTAGAAAACAAATATTGACGTATTTACATTTCTTTTTTAACTTGTCACAGAGAAAAAATATAATAAAAAAATTTGCTCTATACATACTGTACCTCTCCATGTACAAATCGACTCAAACTGATGGTTTACTTTTGGAAGAAGCTTTATGAAACCAACGCAAATCATCCTAAACAAGGTTAAAGTTGCACCTGTTCGTCATATCTGACAGTTTTCTCTGTTCTTTCTATCTATCAACATTTCCTCTAACTGTCAAACAAATAAAAACCGCCACCTGAACTGTTGGGAATGAGTGAAAGCTCAAAATCAAGAGGTATGCACTGTGCTCCTCCCTTGAGAGCGAGCGAGAGAAAGCTACTTTAAATGTGCCAACAGGCATCTGACTTTCCAGAGGAAAAATCCAAAATGAGCCACAGCAAGGGCAGGCAACCCTCCACCCAGCAGCAAAATCATCAAACTTTTAATGACTTGGACAATTACCCTCAGTGAGCCTGCTTAATGGCATCCAGAGGACATCACTGCTCACTAGGCTTCAGCAGCATCTACACTAACTAACAAGACTAATGTGTGTCCTGGACTGTCCCATATTATTACTGATCCAGACAATTTGGGTGTTCTAGAGGGTGGAAGGCCCTGGATATTAACACTTCCAACCACTGGCCCTGTTAGTCCATTCACTATGTATGGAAAGCATCGAATTGCTATGTTATCTTGTATGTTGTGCAGCTTTGAGTGGCTAAGGTGCCCATAAAGCCTGTGTGATAAGAATAACATCATCCAAAGGTTGTAACAGAACTTCTCCTCCTATAGACCTTTACTCAAACACAGAAACTATAATAGAAGCATGTAAATTTCTGCAAAAATGCAAAGTTGTTGAGCATTCATTTGCAAAAAGACATAATTGACTTGTTAGGAAGAATGACCTGAGCATGGTGGAGTCGGCGTGTGATGATTGTGTATGTGTGTCTCCAAAGATAAATCTGTTTTTATAAAATAGGTAAATCAGGAAAACTTTTACGTTGTGTTTGGTTGTTATTTACATTCATTAGCAATCAGTGATAAAGTCTAAATGATAATGACTGTTAACGTGACGTGCGACTCTCACTTATTTATTTGTTTTTTTATTTATACCTTTATTTTACCAGGAAGAAATCCATTGAGATCATCAATCTCTTTTACAAGGATGTCCTGGATTATGCAGGGCATTGGCTCAGGAACAATTCAATTTATTTATATAGCACCAAGTCACAACAGAAGTCATCTCAGGGTACTGAACAGAACCAGCTCTTTGTAGTCATATAATTAGCACGACAGCACCTCTGCTACCTTCATGTCTTATTATGAACCCATCCACAAGGCCAAATCATAAAAATAATATGTATATATATATATATATATATATATAATGTGAACAAAATTGTCAAAGCCACAGATTATACATGCAAAAAAGAATAATTCAACAAAAATATATCTGCAAAATCCACTGTCTATATTTTACTTTGCACTCAAGTTCTGATTAAGTGTGCTATTGCAAACCTAATCAGCCCACTCTAAAAGGTTAATAGTCCTCTTACAACACTTGCGATAATACAAAAGAACCCTTGTCCTTAAATGATACACTGTATACAATGCAGTAGTTATAGTGCTATTGTATGTACTAGAGTAATACTTTATAATTAGCCTACTTAAGGACTTCTTTCATTCAAAATGCTGGAGCATTGAAAGTTAACAGCAAAGTGGCACAAAGGTTTAAACTGTTTCCAGACAATAAGAACCATATGCAAATGACTTTTCCCTCTAGGTTAGGAGCATGCCCCAGGGAGATGGCACTGTGTGCTTTATGGCCCACAGGAAAAAAAAAAGGGACAGAACGATACATACACATACATTGCTTAATACCAAAGCTTTATTTTAGCACAGCAGCCTATTGTCACAGCAGACTTTCAGCTGAGCCAGCTAAAATTAACAAATTGGAAGCCGAAATGCCTGCATTGTGCTGATTATACAGTGAGACGTTTAAAATCTGATGAAAACACAAGACTTCTGGAACACATTAATAAAAGCAAACTTTCACCTTCTCTGCAGATTCCTCTTTTAGGAGCATTTATGTGAAACAACGTTTTCTTCACTGCCTAAATATTCAACTTTTTTTTTTTTAAAGAGCAGTTGATCTGAATAGTTAATTGGCTTCTACAACAATCAGACAGCACGCTTTGTTGTAAAATTATCTCGTTCCAATTATTTGTCAAGTTAAAGGTCTGTATAAAGTGTAGGGTCCATGAGGACGTTCTCCTCTCCCACTTGCTCTATTTAGATTCCAGCTAAAGCCAGGTGCTATCTTGATAATTGGGCCACACTGGGTTTTTTGTTTCCGTTTTTGACTGAACCGCTTGTCTCATATTAACAGAAAACATGGTCAGACATACATGCAAACTGAATCTTAACTTGTAAAAATATTGTTGTGACCTCTAGTTAAATGAGCTCTATTTATAAACAGGAAACCCATGCATCTTTTTGGTAGAATTCATAAAAAAAGTACTTGTGCTTCTTTAATTAAGCTCTATAATCAAAAGAAGCTAAAAGCATACATAAACACAGTCTTCCTGCTATAGATATCCACATCTGTTAATCTTGTCGCAAACACACCCGTGTTGTTTTGTGCAGTGTTTTGCTGTTATGGATTTTATATTTATCATAAGCAGACGGATGGAATTTCACCATTCTCCTTCTTTGCGGCTTCCAAGATCCAGTGTAGCCAAGACGAAGACGAGTGCTGTGCATCCTTCTGACCCACCCTGCAAATGAGAGGGTGCTGTCCTGCAGTGGCTGCACCTAATTACTCTCCAACAGCTGCAAACATGTAGGGCTACAGCGAAGGGGCCCAAGCCGCATAGCCAGGCTCGGGGACAAGCCCTGCAGTGTGAGCAGGCGACAGGCAGGCTCGCTGTGCTTCGTGCAACCCACAGATCCCTCCTATGCCACGAGCCCCCCCACTGCAGCCCAGTGCTCCTGCTGCCTCATCAAGTTCTCCAGAAGAAATTGCAGGGTGGCGGGGGGAATCAAGTCTGTAAATACGACCGCACTGACAACAAAATGTCACGGTCCTTGTGTTCAGCTGGCTGGGACTTTGGGGAGGGAGGTATGTCTGTTTAGATGCATGCACACTGTGACAGCTGCCGTACTCTCTGGTCCAAGGCAGGAAGACGGATGAAAAATGTAACTCTCAGACAAGCAAGTGAAGATACAGAAATAGTGTTGAACAAGTTATGAAAATATACCCAAGTAGTGACTTTTTTTTAGCATACTTTGAAAATCTATCTAAACTTCATTTTAACTTTTTCCCTACTAAAATGAAAAATAAAAGAATTTGCCATTATTGTTTCTCCTGTCTCAAATATTTATTGACTGAAATGTTTGACTACTCTTTCATACAAAATTTAAATAGTTATATTTGAGGGGGTTTTATTTGTTCAGTTTTAAAATCTACCTAACTATATAAGAAATTACTTGTTTTTTTACTTGGCTTTTACATTGAACTCATTATCTATTTTTTAAGTGTTTCTTGATAATTGCGTTTATGTGTTGAACGTCCCAATCTACGGTTTGAGAAAAATATCTCATTATCAAAAACATTTCTATAAAAGGCACGGTGGATCAGTTGGTAGAGCTGCTGCTTCTCAGTGATAAGGTCGCTGGATCTAATCCTGGCCAGGGGCCTTTATGGTGGAGTTTGCATGTTCACTCCATTAGGGATGCACGATATTATCGGCACGGTATCAGCCGATATTTGCATTAAAGTTCAATATCGGACATCGGCCATTCCATTAAAATAACTCGCCGATATAAAAGGCGCTGTTTATAGCTGCAGCGGCAGCACAACGTGAAGACGTTGCAGCGGCAGCACAACGTGAAGACGTTGCAGCGGCAGCACAACGTGATGACGTTGCAACGGCAGCTCAACGCAATGACGTCGCATGCATCTACCCGATCTCACGACGGAGAAAGGAAAATTCTAAATGTCGGCGGTGTGGAAGTTTTATTTTTCATTCGTGAGGATGTCGGATTCTGAAGATTTATGGACTACATTGAGCCTCGCTACAACGTCCCCAGTCAGAGATATTTTTCCAACGTAATGTTACTCAAGTTACAAGCCGTCATTTCCGACGTCAATGAGAAGCTAATAGCCGATAGCATGACTTGTCGGATGAGTTTTACCATAGATATTTGGATGTCGTGTTAGCCCCATTAGCATGATTAAGTCTTACCGCACAATGGGTAGACAAAAACTTTAAAAAGGCTGTCCTTCATGCACTGCAGTGCAGAGGATCCCACACTGCAGCTAGGAACCTGGAACAAGCCTCCACAAGTGAGACAGCATCGCAGGTGACTAATGCTAATAAATAACATTTAACACTTTTCATTTAATATAAGTTAAAGTGCTATGCATATCATATGACTGTTACTGAATATATGTCACCAGCTCTTACAACTGTTGCACAATTTTTGTAGCAAATAAGCCTAAATAAGAGGGATATGTTCGGACAAAGGAACGTATATAAAATATCGGTATCGGTATCGGCCAAATAAGTTTTAACATATAGGCATATTGGATATCAGCCAAAAATCCAATATTGTGCATCCCTACACTCCATGCATGCGTGGGTTTTCCCCGTATACTCCAGTTTCCTCCCACTGACCAAAAACATGCATGTTAGACTGGATGGATGGATGGATGGATGGATGGATGGATGGATGGATGGATGG